CCAGTGGCGTTCTACGTGAACTAGCCCGACCCGTTGTGACGAAAGCAGAGCTCGGTCTGAAAACTAAGCTGTCCTTGTTCAAGTCGATCTCTATGCCCATCGTTACCTATGGTTATGAGTCGTGGACCATCAGTGAAAAACTTCGAATGTTGACAAGTTGCTTAAATGGCTGGCCTCACGCTTCTCGACATGGTCCGGAATGTTGACATCCGGAAGAGCGTTGGTATATACAGCCTTTGCTTCTCCAGATCGAGAAGTCAGCTGCGATGGCTTGGGCGTGTGTTGCGAATGCCTCCAGAAAGGAAGGCTAAGCAACTTTTCTTGCGAAACCGACCGGCAGAAAGGTCCAGAAAACGACCAAGATTAACCTGGTGCAAATAAACAGAATGTAACTGTTCCAGACTGCAGTTGTCTTCTGCCAAAGCTCACACTCTGGCACAGTATCGGGAACGTTCGAAGGACTGTGTGCCGTGTCTGCTTCCATGATCCAAAAGAAGAAGCAGTCAAGGAAGAAGAAGAAGAAGATGGTGAAGAGAAAGAAGAAGAAGAAGATGTTTTCTAGTGCTTGGTTTATCGCAGTTGCGCAAGATGTATTATTCTTAAATCACAAGAATAATAGAACGACGATCACTGATGCTACTGTTCGAATGTACGAGAACGTGTTAAATTCGTGGATATGTTAGAAGTGTCAAACTGGCTATGGATCTGCAGCAAGTATGTCAGTTGGAGGACTGTGCGAAAAAGGACAGTGGACCTCTCTACAAATGAATCCATTCTGAGATAAACGGGGACGAGCTTAGACTGTCTGAAACTCATAGAAACGATACTAGAAAGTATCAGAAAGTTTTTGTTTGGGGTAGATCCGGAATAGCAAGAAAAAAATTGATATGGCAAATTTCTCTTTGCATGGTGAGCCGATGTGACCGCTATGCCGGTCATTGCAGGAAAGATTGTCTGATCGGGATCAGAGCACGAATTACCCAGCTGCTCAGTCACAATCAATGTCACCGTAGAAGATCGGGTCAGAATGGCTCAAAGACCAACGCCCACTTGACGAACATTCGATCCTGAAACTTTTGCAAATAAGATTCGTCATCTAAACCTTGCACTTGACATCAGTAGACTTTTCGATGCATTTTACCATCAAAACTATCATCCGGTCATCCAGCCGTTCTGCAGTGTGAAAGAGGAAACAATGCACCAGCTCTGAAACGCAGCAGCTGTTTGGCAGGAGAGCCAAAATGAAGAACTGGTAGGCAACAGGAAGACGTGTACATCCTTTTGTGCAAAGAAATGCAGAAGAAAATTTAAGAGGACTACGGAAAGTATACTGGAGAACGTAGCTAAGATAGGACGGATTAAAGAAGAATGGCATGGTGGCCGCCAAAAGTAGTGTCCTTTTAAAACAAGGCGGAATGCGATAGATCTGAGGGACGAAGGAAAAACAACAGGCACAAATGCTTGTCGTCTCAACGCAATTTGTAATAGGTTCTACAGCAGTCTGTACTCCCCAAAGGTAGTGTTAAATCGTAAGTTGCGGCTAATTATTCCTAAAGCTGTTCCTGACATTAAGTGGGACGAAGTAGAGTTTGCAATCACTAATATCTAGAGTGGCAGAACTCCTGACAAGACGGAATAATACCGGAACATTTCAAGTCCAGAGGAACGACCTTGGTCAAAGCAATCAAAAAGAATGAAGAAGACGCCGAAATCATGAAAGAGCTTTTCGACGATTCCTTTGTTTATGAAAGGTGATGGTGGAGACCTCCAGTACTATCGACCAATCCCATTTTTGTCACAGATCTACAAGGTCTTTACCGGAATCGCCCTCAACCGTTTCTGGTGAAACCTCGATCTACTCGCTCTTACCGAGCAAATCTTTCCGAACAGGGTTCTTCACCATGGTTCACATCCACTTCGTGGAGCAGTTAACAGAGAAGTCCAAAGAATACTAAATCCACCTCTACTGCGCATTCATCGACGTCAGAAATAAGTTCGATTCAATTTATGCAAGTGCTATATTTTGAACCCCTTGCACGACGACGGTATTAACTCCGCCGACGTCTACCTCATCGAGGAACTAAATTCTGATACCGCAGTCGACATAAGGTTATTCGAGGAACCGTATTGAATCAACATCAAAAGGCCGATGCGCACAAGGATACACCATCGTTCCGGAGCTTTTCGCCTCGGCGCTGGAATCCCTCTATAACACTTTGAACTGAACAGCGGAATTGACATCGACAGATAACACTTCACCCATCTGTTCGCTGAACACGACGTCATTATCCTTGTACAAGATAAACTTCAAACATAGACTGTGCGGCTGCAGAAGGAGTCACACGCAATCAATCAAGAGATGAACATGTTTAAGACCAAACGGGTGAGTATAGATCATTGCCCTGCGGATATTATCATAACTAACGGCGAAGAATCGCTAGTCACGTATACCTCAGACATATTATAGACTGCCATAACAATATCCATGATGAGATCAGCAGAAAAAGGGAGGTAGCATGGAAAGTTTTGATCATATCAGAACACAGAAGCTTGATAACAGATTGCTCATGTGTCCACGAAGAAAAATTATTGGACTCCGCTGTGTTACCGGTTATGATTTATTGCTCAGAATGCTTGTCTACCACCAAGGTAAAGCCAAGGACGATGAAAAGAGGGATATGTTGGGCCTTCCTTTGAGACCATGTGCGCAAGTATCTTGAATAGGTCGGTGTCGCCTACAGCTTGAACGGATAATAAGCTGGCAACTTAGCTTGCTTGAAATGCAACAGGGGGCAATCGAGAGCTAAGAACTGGACTGTTGGCAACAGAAGTCTACTCACCGCCCCCCCCCCAACACGTTTGGATTACGCAATGGCGAAGCTGTTTGGTCAGAGGTGGAAGCAAAATGCACAAAGTCAAGATGAGTGGCGAACCGTCGACCAGCGTCTGTGGCGAGGCGCTGACTAAAACAAGTCAGATGGAAGGATAACAAATAGGTAGCAGGCCAAAACAAGTCGGTTATGCTAGATTTGCACGAGGGCATATGATATGGAACTATAATTCGTTTTAATTTTTATTTATGTGGAAAAGAATCAAATTGATAGTCAAGAATATCAATAATTTCTCTGTTTCGAAACAGGTTATGATAAAAGCATAATGGTGATTTTGCTGAAAATGACAAGGAAGTAGTTTGCAGTCAACCAAAAGCACACTAAGTATCAGTGAAATAAACACATAACCATTAGCAAAGAGGGAACAACGATGCTACCAATATCCAAAAGGCATTCCCATCCCCATACCACCAAAAAACGGATTTCCCCACATTCCGCCTCCGAAGAATGGATCAAAGCCACCGAATGGGCCAAAGCCGCCACCGAAAGGGCCAAAGCCAAATTGTCGACGGTTTCGGACGTGTGCAGGCACTAAAACGCGATGTAAACAATATACATATGTACAATACGAAACGAGAACGAAACAAGGTACGGTAGGTCATCGTACTTCTTCGCGAGTCTGCTAGAATCGTCTGCATGAGCACGAGTAGGGCGACAATGACCAAGGAGTACAATCTGAGGTGAACCATGTTTGACGCTGACTCCGAACGGTTGATACCGAAATACTGTTCGTGGTATCGTTCAAGCTTGTTTAAATAGCTGTCGAATGGAAAAAAAGTACCTCGACGCGAGAAACGGGCTTAGTAGGTCTTCGTTGCGTTAGAGTCAAAGTAATAACGCTTTTTATCGCTGCCAGGCATTGAAATGGCCATTGAAAACTGTCATGAGCCGTCGCAAAATTTGCCAGACTCATGACGATGCGTAGGTGTCATTGGCCTTGCTGAATCTGTTTGGATAAACTTGATCTGGCTCAACCCACGTGAACTCTGACTAGAATTTTGTTTTTTTAATGATTTTTCTGCTCTTCAGTTCTGACGTTTCAAAGTAGGGTGTGCTTATTATATCGGTGGTGACAACAACAGAAGACCACTGGCATCCAATCTGATCCGTCTATCGAAGATCACATAGAGCAACCGAAAGTTCAGACACTGTCATGTACGTATAAGCATGCACACTAGGTCAGTTCCGGCCGGGCAAACTGATATTGCAAGAAGATACCGTCCAAAGGATCGATATCGAGCCATTGCGTCGGCTTTGCTGTTGGTGCTTCGATACATGTTGTCAAAGATTAATAAATTGTAATCTTTCTTGAGG